ATTCACTTTTGTCTTCAGAGTCCAGAAAGCCAGCGCTGATCACGTATCCCCTGTAAGCAGAAGAAAGTTTCGTGGTCCAGGAAGCTGTCATAGCCGGCAAAATTGGTTTCAGCTGTATGGCTGAAGAACTTGGCATCGGTTATTTATGTCGAGCTGTGCACAACTGTAAAGCTTTCAGATCTGTACGACTTCTGGAAATTTAACTTTGCTCTTTAAGAATCATCTCGCCTGATGTTTCTTTATGATTTTGCACGTTAATAAAAATCTTCCTTTTGCAGGCTTTTCACAGCTTGTTTACCTGAACCTGTATGCTTCTCTCACTGATGACAGCCTTCTGCCGTACTACCTCGGCTAACGATCTCGGTGAGACCCATCCTTCCCTACGCCTTGCCGCAGCCCACTGCTGGCACAGGCTGGCCAGGCAAGCCTCACCCGCCAGGAACATCAGCTTTCAAACCAGCTGGCCAGGTTTCGAACAGTCTTGATCTGATTCCCGGCTGCCCTCACGGCCTCGCAAACCTTGCAGAAATGCTCGTCCCAGAACGAGGCGACGTGGACTTCGTACTTCCTCCTCCAGGCAAAATACCTCCTGTAGTTAGGTTTGTTTTTATCGAGGAACTTCAGGTAGGTGGCCAGCAGCCGGGGGCTGGGGAAGTCATCGACGTGGATGAAAGAGTCAGGGGGGATGAAGCGCTCGTAGTTGGCCCTGCGGGGTCCGAGGACGACGGGCACGGCGCTGGCGGCAAAGGCGTTTCTCCAGAGTTTCTCAGTGATGTAGTCAGTGTGCTGGGAGTTCTCGAAGGCCAGGTAGAACTTGTAGGCTGAGACGGTCTCCACCACGCCGCCCTCAGACAGCGCCAGCCCCCGCGCCCCGTACACGTCGATGGCGAGGTGCTCCTTCAGCTGGCGGTAGTAGCGCACCCGGGCATGTTCCTCGTTCCAGTTGCTGATGACCCAGGCCACCAGCCGCGTCTTGCGGGGCAGGACGAAGGGCCGCGGCGCCGGCGGGGCATAGAGGGACCCGTAGGG